ACAAGAAAATTAATTGTTACACTGTATACTTTAAAGACTTCTGTAGGCATCAACAGGGTAAATTTGAAAGGCTGTGTTATTCCAGAAATAAGATAGAACAGAAATGAGAATTACTACATTAGCATGAGAATAAAAAGTTATTCTTAAAGGTCATCTTGCCAGATCAGGTTTTGATGTGACGTGTGGACAAGACAATGTGCTGAAAATCCACTAGGACTAAGGGACTCATGAATATTAATGAATGGAAGCGCCGTTATAGATAATAAAATACAAAGCAGCATGTGAGTCCGGGTGGTTTTCACTGTCACAAAACAGGGTTGGTATTTGGAGACAGTTTCTTATTATAAATTAGAGACATGCATTTATTGGCATAGATTATATTCTGGAAAACTTTATCACTGAACCTTCATGAAACTTGAAAAAACACAGTTCTGAAATTTAAATTATAAATAAAGATTTTTTAAGACTCTGAAACACATTTAACCTGACAGCACATCATTTCTCACTTAGATATTCCATATTTCTGTATATGTCTCCTTGTTTCTTCTCAGCCCCTGCAGCTCTGCATCTCCGTTACAGCCAACAGGTTCTTTCCAGGGTCAAACTAAGATCACAACGCATCTGTTCCGATATGATTAAGGTTTTCCACTGGACTGGAATTAAACTACTTCTGTGGCATTCCGTGTCCTTAATGGTCGAATGCATTTTCAGCTTCATAAGCAATACTTTCTAAAACATCAGGGCACTTGTGAATGCTGGACATGGAAACTCCCGTGTTCTGCCACGCCCTTGCATCTGCTGCGCCTGCTTTACTGTATTCTCCCATTCATAGCTTAACACATTCCTCACCACCCTTCAGGATTCACTCGTCAACTCCTGAATCTATCCACTACACTTGCACAGGGATGTGAGCGCGCTCCTCCGTCCTCCAATTTGCACAACACTACTTCCTGATGCTCTCCGATATCCTCCACCAGCCTGCAGGTCCAGAACGACAAAGGCCAGGCAGGCTGCTGTCCGTTCATCCTCAGCAACTGTACAGTTGTGTGCATGTGGGGCAACCCCAGTGTTCAACATGGATCTGTCCAAAGACAACTGAATGACTTCATGGAAAAACCTCATGATGCCATATCACTCTACACTACATTTCGACAACGTTTGCTGCAGGGGGTGACACACACACACACACACACACACACACACACACACACACACACACACACACAGAGAGAGAGAGAGAGAGAGAGAGAGAGAGAGAGAGCGAGCACTGTTAAAAATGGCCCCAGTGGCTCAGTTTGTCTGTCTACGGAAGCGTTTCTCGATCTTGGCATGACTGACATCTTGAACTATATAAATTGGTTGCTAGTGGGGGTGGGGGTGGCTAGCTTCCACATCAGATGCTCGTAGTGTCCCCTTCCTGAAATGTGACGATCAAAAACCATCTCCAGATGCTGTCCAAGGGAAGAAGTGGATGGACCATCCCAGGTTGGGGACCACTGTACTATAATGTAAAATCAGCACTTTTAGCTGAGGGCATTACATGGTTTTAAAATCTCCCTTTCCCAACAAAGGCATTCGCTAAGAATAAAGAAGGAGCATTGGAAATTTGAGGAGGAAACAGCATTAAGGCAATGGTTTCCCATAAGGTTACGAGTGACTGGGGAAGAGTGTCAAGTTGAGAGTTCTCGGTTGCACTTGTGCTCAGCACCATAAGGCGAGCTGTCTTAGTTTTCCAGGTAAAGCAAGTGGCGAGTTACCAGGTGAGTCATTGTCCCAGGCGAGGGGAAAGCAAAGAGCTGCAGCTCCATGCTTGCTTAGCACACGCCAGGCCCTGGACTTAACTCCCAGCACAGCATAAAGCGAGTAGATGGTACATGGCTGAAATCCCAGCACTTAGAAGTAGAGGCAGGTGAAAAAAAAAGTTCAGGACCATTCTCTCCTGCACAGTGAACTCAAGGCAAGCCTGGGTTATAGGAGAACCTGTCTCAAAACCGCTTTCCCCAAATAAGTAAGGAGTTGAGTATGTCCAGCAAGTGATCCAAGAAAGGATCGTATTGATGGAGCAGAAGTTAAGGGCTGAGGGAAATGAAGTCGGGCAAAAAGCAGTCCAGTGGTGTTAGGATAGTGGATGGCTTGGTGCAAAGTGCTTACTGTGCAAGCCTAACCACTTGAGTTTGGATCCCCAGACCTGCCAGACACAGTAGCACAACCATCTGCAATCACAATACACCCTTACCAGGATGGGGACAGGAGCAGGGTTGCCGAAACCTGGCTGAGTGGCTAGTACAGCAGAGAACAGGAGAGCCCCTGTCTCAAGCGAGGTCTGAGGTGAAGACCAACATTTGAAACTGTCCTTCTAGCCTCCACAGGTCCACCATGAGTGTGGTTCCCACTCTCGCACACAGAGGAAGGAAGTAGATCAGCCAATGGATGGCAGATTCATGGATGATGGTTAGTAAATGGAAGCTCTTTAAAAGAAAGAGGCACTGGAGTCAGAGTTGAAGAAGTGAGTGAGCTGGAGCATTCGATGATGATGATTCTGTCTCCTGCCCCAGCCTTTCAAAAACCTAGGCACTGCAGCTTTTAGAGGAGATGTATGGGTGTTAACAGGGTCTATGTCTGGTGCATGGTTAATAAAATCTATCTCTAAGTATCACAAAGAATAAATTATGTATTTGTATGTTTATGATGCAAGATGTGGGCCACGATGATGCCCGACTCAGATCTTCCTGGACAAGTGCATAGTAGGGCCACGGTGGCCCTAACTCCTGTGAATGTTAGGAACACACTGATGTCAGTGGCATCCCAGCCACTGACTGATCACAGCCAGCACGTTCATGTGGGCATCTCCCACCTCATCCCTCTCCATTAGCCTAGGTTAGACCTCAGCACTGCGCTCTGCATCTCTTCCCAGTCAAGCCTTGCTCTCCCCTTTCACAGGTGTCAGATCAACATGGTGGTGTGAAGGCTCTCTTTGGCCAAACCCAACTCCTCCCCTGTTATTTTTCAGAGAGATTTCCATCAATTGGTCCTTTGCATTTTTGATCTCTTCCTTTAGTTGCTTCTCATGAGACCCAAAGATTACAGAGTTAGGAGGAAGCCCGAGCTGCGGCAGGTATCGAATCAGTGTTAACTTTGGATACCACAATCAACCCAGCCCCTAACAGATCATGCAGAAATTACTTTCATAACATTGAGAATTTTCTTCTTAGAAATCCAGTAATGGGGGAAGGAGAGAGGTAGAAAGGAGAAGAGGGAGAGAGGAAGAGAGAGAGAGAGAGAGAGAGAGAGAGAGAGAGAGAGGGAGGGAGGGGGAGGGAGGGAGGGAGGAAAAAAGAGACGGGAAGAACATTAGGATATTAGAATATATGGGTAATTGATTAATTCCCCTTCAGATCTCTACTCATCAAAACATTTTCATTTCTATGGCAGAAAGCCCACTCCGCTTTGTCATGTGGCACCTGAGCAAACTTCACACAACTCGTCTTGAGGAGGAACCAGGGCACAGCAGAGTTCCTGCACCTACACCTCCTGCACCCACACATCCTGCACCCACAGCTTACACTCAGATCCCTAGCGGATGTTGATCCTTCAGAATAACCTCTTCAAGAAGATCCGGAAAAGGGACTTCCTGCTATTTAATTTTCAGGGTGGGAAAAAGCAGGCACTCTGATACCTGGGAAGAGCCGTGGGGGAGGCAAGTAGCAGACAGGACAGCTGAAGAGAAACCTCAACTCATTTGTCCATTCTTCCCCCCATTAATTCTACAGATGTCTCTTCAGCACACAAGTACCTACTCCTAGAACCAAGTGCTGGGACACACACACCTCTACACACACACCTCTACACACCTCCAACACACATGCACATGCATACACACTGCTTAAAACAAGGTCCTAACACATGTGAAAAATAAAATCTACCACCTGAGATGTATTTGGCGGCCTTTGACTGCCTACATATTGTGGGCCAGAATCAATACTTTAAAAATGTAGACTATAATCCATACTTCTGGACAGCACAATGCGTTTCAGAGGGTGAAAGTCTGGGACAACAGCCTGAAATTCTCATTCTCTTTCCCCAGGACCAGGGACCCACCCTTGAGACCTCTTATCTCCTCCGTGGTATCTTCCATCCCAGCTTTTCATAAGGAGACTTGCAAATATTTATTTTCATGTTTTCCCTCTTCTGTTCAAAAACCTTCAGCATCTCCCTGTTGCTTAGAAAATAACAGAATCTTTAGCCCAACATTCAAGGCCCTTAACCATCTAGTCATATTTCCCTCCTCTCTGTTCCTTTTTATTGTAAGCCTAAATCCATTGCCTCAACCGCACCCACCTCTTATGGACACGCCCAAGATTTCTGATCTTTAATCCTTCACCCACACTGCTCCTTCTGACCTACAAGTGCACCCCAAGCATCCAGATGAAGTGCTGTTCAAGGCCCAGTTCAAACGCTAACAAAACCTTCCAGACTAGAAAGCTTTCCAGTTAGAAGTTAGCTCTCAGCTAGCTGTTCTACCATTTTACTGGACTTTGTAAGTTCCCCTCTTTCTACCAGACCTTAAACTTCACAAGGGAGGCAGCCTGTGTGATCAATCTCTTCACTTTAGCACTTTCTCTCTAAATTTTATTTTGAATAGGATAGATAATAGCTTGACACTGGTCTTTTATACCTATAGGTTGAGAATAAATGAATCTTTTTTTTCTAAACTGGATAAACACAGTCCCGTTATACTATTTTCAATCAGATGAACCTTTTAATATTTCAGGAGTCTCCTTCTGATCCTTCATCTTGGTTCACAGAAGAATACTTTGCTGTTACCAAAAGGATTATTGAGCCAAGGTTCCAAAAAACCTATCCATTTAACCTGTATCTTTTAGAGCTATTCTTCACGCCAGGCACAGGGTCATGTAATGTTGCCTGGTAGACTGGGGCCCATCTTCATGGTATGCTCCAATTTTACTTGGACTAACAAACCCTTTAACTCCATCACTTACCACTGTTTCGAATTCTTTCTTCCAACAGGTCTGCATGTCCAATGGGAAGTTTCTTATTGAAAATCTCTGCTGAGCGGAGGAACATGGCTTCCACTGCTGACCCTTTCAGCAACGCAATCTGATCCTCGTGGTCCAGTGTCTGAAACCCTAAGGCAATGATCAAACAGGATCAAGGAGTTTGTCCAACGCTATTTCACACTGTTTATATAGGATAATATTGCATGCATACGATAAGATTTCATCATCGCCATCATCCATACTGATAGAGCATTTCCATCAACCGATCTTGTAGTTGTTTTACAGCAGGTCTTCAAGGGCAGTCCGCTGAATACCTTACCGAACCCCCCAGAGAGAGGCTGGCTTTTTTCTGCACTGAGTCAGGTTTACTAGAGAGATGCAGTGAGAACAGAGGCCAAGCACACAGCAAGCGCATACATAATGGCAGAAACAAGCTGACTCCCGCGAAACAAGCATCAGAAACCCGGGGTAGGCAGATTCTCTTGGAGTTATTACTCTGGTCACACCTGGCATGCAGGGTCAACTCAGAAAAGAAAAGCATCCAGAGCCAGAAAAATAGTCTTCATATGTCCTAAATATTGGGCTGGCTCCCGGGGCTTAGTTAGAATGCAGAGAATGAGTAACATATCCCACAAGTCATCCTGAGGGATATTTTCTGAGCTAAGGTCTGCACCATGCCATGTAGAGAAACAGACAAAACTGGGGAAGAACTTTTAGCTTCAAGGATTAGAACCCCATCTGGAAGTCACAAAGTCCTCCTCCAGACTTTTAGAACTGCCTCTTCCTGCCCCAGCCACTGCTCTGACTTCCTCCCCATCTCCCCTCTCCTCCTCTCTCCTCCTGAGGCTCTGGTTCTACTGAGATCTGAACATGTGCTGTTTGTCTCAGAGATGCCCTTCCCTGGTCTCCCCCGCCCCCCAGGCATCAGTTCTCTGCTGCAAAACTATCCTGTGTAAAGCTCCAGGCTCTCACTAGATCCATCTGCTTCATTACTGTCCACAGACAGAATGTACCACTACCTGTCATGATGCAATGAATTCATTGGCTTATGTAATGGCTGCTCCCTACGTTGCAATATAAACTTTTTAGAGCAGAGACTGTCTGTTTTACTTACATTTATAACCAACCTCAATGCCTGACATGTAATAGGTGCCCGACATTATTTGTTGGGCAGCAGAACGAATGAGTTAATAAATGACAAAACCCCACAAATTTTTGTGCATACCAACACATGATATATATATATATATATATATATAGATAGATAGATAGATAGATAGATAGATAAATAGATAAAGAGAGAGAGAGAGAGAGAGAGAGAGAGAGAGAGAGAGAGAGAGTGAGAGAGAGAATGTCGTCAATGTCTAATAGCTTAGGAGAGGAACCAGCAAAGAGAATTCAAAGACAGCAAGGCTAAAGATTAACAGTCACAATCTGGTCCAGAGAGTTAACTCAGTTGATAGAATGATTGCCTAAACCTATATGAAGCCTTGGGGACCACCCATTCCCCAGCACTGCATAAAATTTAACATTGGATGTGGAGGTACATGCCTGTAACCTCAGTACTTCTTGATCTAAAGTTCAAGGGCATTTTCTATTATATCATGAGTTTGGGGTCCATCTGGCCTCCATGAGACCCCGTCTAAAAGAAAAGTCCCTATTCTGAGAACCTAAGGGCTCCTCTGCAGGCAGGACCATGCTTTCTACTTACTGGGTCTCCAGCACTGTGGACAGTGTCTGGGAGAGGACGTACTAAATAGAAAGACTGATTTCCCACAAAATCCCCTTTCAATATTGGCATTATACTACCATTGCTGATACCTGTAATGTTATTTCTATAATTGCTGTTGGGGGGAAAGATTGGCAAAGGCTTTTTGCCTTTATTTCCTTCTGTGTTTTAAGATCTTTCCTTCTGCCTTATTCACTGAACACACATTAATTGTGCTCCCCCTCAGAAACTGGGACTAGGAATGAATGTCATTGCTTTCCGAGAGCCACATCTTATCTGCTTCTTGTCACTTATTATTTCTCAGATGCAAAGCGACTGACCATTTGAACTGAAAAACATCTTCTCATAAATAATTTTTTTAAAAAATGTCATCGCCCTCTACCTTTTTTCATTTATTCCCCCCCACACACCGTTCTTCTTTTTGTGCGATCTTGGTTTTGAATCAAGAGGGGGTGTCACCTTAATTAGCATAGAACAAATTAAGCTTCTTTCATTGTTAGTAAAGACACAAGAGAATATTAAAGTCTCAATGACAGCGAGAACTTTCTCTCCACGTTTTATGAGTTTCATTAGGCTAATGTCTGTCTGTGACGCATTTAATAAAAGAATAGCATAATGCTGGCAAAAAGAGGCAAATTAGCATGTCTAATTAAAAACCTGTGTTGGAGGTTGTTGTCTGTAACTTAACGAATATTATGCTGTTACTATGGGTATTTATGGCACTCTATACAATGAAATTGTAAATGCACTAACATTCTTTAAAATTCTTTTGAGACATTTGATTAGGTAGCTCAGGCTAGCTTTGTTGATGGTTTTTATTTTCCACTGAAACAATCACGTCTTAGTGACACGGACACACTGATGGGGCAGGTTGGGAAATGTGGCTCAGCACAGCAGTTTCTTCACTGGAGAAGTTCATACGCTTAGCACTTCAAGACACACCCTTTCCTTTACCTTACACATACCGTTCCTCAACCCCTACGAATTTTTGAATCGATCTTCCACGTTTCCTCCTTCTCTCTTCTACTCTTATTATTTTATTTTGAACCTTCTTCCCCAGGCTTCCCTAGTAGCAGACCAACTGCTCCTCCCGCTTCGTCTCTTTCCACTCAGGTCCGCCTCATATACACCTGATAAGGCCATCTATCTGCAACAAAAATTTCATTGTTTCCTAAACCTCTTTACCACCCGGGGGCAATGGCTAAATTCCTTAGTTAGGCCCTGATCATTTGCTGCCAATTTGCTTTACTATGTAATCCAAGAGCCTGCCAAAGACGTTCTGTAGCCACGCTGGAATTCTTCTCCCATAGTGTGTGTGTGTGTGTGTGTGTGTGTGTGTGTGTGTGTGTGTGTGTGTGTGTGTGTGCAGGATGACATATATGTTCATGTGTGTGGTTTTTTATTGTGTGTGCATCTGTGCCTGTGAGTGTGGCTTTGTGAAGGTCAGAAATCAACACTGAGTGTCTTCTTCAAACACTCTCCATTTTATTTTTGAGACAGACTCACTGATCTGGACCTCACCGATTCAGCTAGCCTGGCTGGCCAGCAAGTCCTGGGGACCCTCCTGTCCTTTCCTCCCAAGTTCTGGGGTTAGAAGAGCATAACACCCATGCCTGGCTGTTTACATGGGCACTGGAAATCCAAAATTAGGTCTATATCTTTGACCTTTGCAGGTACTTGCGCGCGCGCGCGCGCGCGCGCGCGCGCACACACACACACACACACACACACACTAAAAAAATATAAATCTTAAAAAATATCCAACTTGTATGTAATTCTTTCTGAAGGCTCTTAGGTTTTCTCAAACCCGATTTCTCTATGTTCAAATAGCACTGTGTGTGTGTGTATGTGTGTGTGTGTGTGTGTGTGTGTGTGTGTGTGTGTGTGTGTGTGTGTGTAATAGCCTTTAACTACCCTTCTTTAAGGGAATAGCCTTAATGGTGCCATCAACCACTGCTTATTGAATAAGTGAATAAATGCCAACTTTGCAAAGTCTCAATTCTGGCCTATTGATTTGGAAGATTTTTTTTCTTTTTTAAGACAGGATCCAATGTATACCAGGCTGGTCTCAAACTTAATATTTAGCCAAGGATGACCCTAGACTTCTGTTTCTCCTGATTCGACCTTCTAAGTGCCAGGATTTATAAGCACATACCATGAGGCCCAGTTTACACAGTGTTATGGATCAACCTTGCAGCTTCATGCATGTTAGGCAGGTATTATACCAACTGAACTACAACTTCAGCCCAAGGAAGAGTTATTATAAATAATCCTGAATATGCTTTGTTGCTATGACTTTTCATGTCCATAAAAACTAGAAAGATTAAGTCAGATAGGATTTTGATTTTATAGTAAATTGAAGCTGTCAATGTTACAGGAAAACTGTACAATGTATTAGAGTAATTGCTAATGGAAAAACACCTAGCAAAGAAATCACGACAATAGACCTACCTGATCACATAAGAATGCTTTAAGAACTGAACAAAATATTGCCCACAGAGTGATTAATATGATCACGGCACATCTCACACATTTCAAGAACATTAACATTTATTGTTTTAAAAAGTACCTGGAAGCTTTTTTGTGAATTCTACAAGAACCTGTACATGACTGGTCGCCATTTCTGTTAATATGAGAAAATTTTCCTCTGCACTAAATTCTTCTTTTAACTAAATTTTAAGAAAAAAAGTGAATGATTAATCAATAAGCAGGAAAAGGATAACTCAATATAAAATCACTAAAGGAAAACAACAGACTTGACTAGAGAAATTTAAAGACCCAGATCACATTTCTAAGATCTTTGGAAATCAATTACTATTTACAAGATAGATCCATGACATCTTTTTTTAATTGCTTAAGACTGATGAAAGTTTGAATATATAACTTGAAGTCTCAAATACAATCACTTTGAGTAACACATTTATATGTAAGTCCCACCTTAAAGGTACTAACAGCTCCAGAGAAATGCTAACTTTGAACAAGTGTATATTCAGATAGCATACATACGATTTTATTGGTTATTTCCTGAGGCATTCTCTGTTTGCTATATGAATCCATAATATAATCCAGAAGGTGCTGCTGATCTGAGGTGAGTTCAGTTTTCTCCTACACTGGCAAGAAAATGAAAGGTGTGAGGGAGGGCAGTTGAGGGCGTATCCCAATACGTACACTCTCTGAAATGAACTGATAACAAAGGATTTTTCAAAGCCTTAAGAGCTATGGGCTTACACGTATTAGAAAGTAGGTTTCTCTGGGTCCAGGCATAATCAGTTACATATTTCCCTAAAGTTGTTTCAACTTGCTGGTTTTCCTATTTAGAAAATATGAACAATAAAATATCCTCTTCACATATGAATAAATATGGGAATAAATAGTAGTGTGAATATGGAGGCTGTTGAATCCAATCACGCTTGAATGTCAGTTGAAGTTCAAGGTTAAATCATAGCTTTAAAATGCTTCCTGTGAGCCAGGCGGAGGTGGCACACGCCTTTAATCCCAGCACTTGGGAGGCAGAGCCAGGTGGATCTCTGTGAGTTCGAGGCCAGCCTGGTGTACAGAGTAGTGAGATCCAGGACAGGCACCAAAACTACACAGAGAAACCCTGTCTCTAAAAACCGAAAAAAAAATGCTTCCTGTGTATTAGACAGAGAATCCATCTGTGCACACTCATCTATATTCAAGGACGGTAAACTGTGGTCTTTAGACCACATCTACCTTTATGAAGATAAAGTTTTACTGGAATGTAGTCATGCTCCTTTGCTGATATATTGTCTGTGCTGCTTTTAAATTAAAATGGCAGTTACATAGTTGTCATAAGGAATATGTAGCCAAAGCCTAAACTCCTACATATCTACACATTATAGAAAAAAAAAAAAACCAGTCTTCTGACACCACAGTCATCAGTCTGCTCAACCCGGATCCCAAACACCTCTCCCCTCTTCACTGTCTCTTGAGAAACATGAACCATTGTGTCAACTTTTTGCTTTCTTACACCAAAGCGTTTCTGATGAGGCACTCTGGCAGAGTGATCCTTTTTTTATAAGGTCAGCTCTTTCGAAGTCAATCCAAGCAATATGTTTAAAAACCTAACAGTGGATGAAGTTGTCCTTGCCAAACCGAATACAGGCAAAAGTGTAGCTTGGATATCATGGTTTATTGGTATTTCAACTACCAGCGAGTAAGAATCCTTCCAGATATTCTGTGACTTAACATTGTGTGTGTGTCTAACCAGCCCAGGTGTTCCTCACTTTGTCCCTAGTGAGTCAATGGATTTCTTAAGAGATTTTTGTTGTTGTTCAATTAAAAGGGTTTTCTCTGTTGGTCCACATATACGTGGGATTCTGTTTTACCCACTGATGAGGAGCAACCCACAGCCTCTCCTGGGTCCAGACTTCCCAAGTTGGAGCTTTCCTTCTCTCAGGGGCAAGGGTGAGGTGGGGAGTGTAGGTATGGTCTTCAAAAACTCAGCTGGAACCCAGGTCGGGCAGCGCAAGCTTTTAATCTCAGAATTCTGGAAGCAAATCCCAGCATTTGGGAGGCAGAAGCAGGTGGATCTCTGTCAGCTTGAGGCTATCCTGGTCTAAATAAGGTGTTCCAAGACAGCCATGTCCACAGTGAGATCCTGTCTCAAAAGAAAACCTCAAGCAGAACACTCCATCCTAAAGACTAAATCATTCCCACTGGCAGCCATTAGGTAGTAGTAGCCCGGAGAGAAGAGCTTTCACTTTTTACCTTATACACAGCTACTATTTAAAACTTCACACCTTTCCCTCTTGATTCAAAAGAAAAAAAAAAAGGACTCCATTTCAGTACACAGCTGAAATGGAAACTTGGCTGTGGCTAAGGCCTCAGCCTCCTGGCCATATCGGCAGGTTCCTGGAAACACAATTCCCGCTGACCTTGGCAACGCCATCACTCTCTGTTACCCTGCATGACTTGGTCGTGGAGGTCACTTGTCGCGAGTCCCGGCCTTCGCTGTCCTCATTTACCGTCTTATCTGCGTGCTGCTTCACATTTTTTCTTAGCCGTTTAGATTTACATTGAATTTCAGTTAACAAACCTGGGGGGGGGGGAAGCATAGAAAATCCTATTGGGTGTGTGGTCCTGAAGCAGCTGTTATATGGTCAGCTCAGGGGACAGTCAGAATTAATTCTAGCTCATTTGGTATTTGTTTGTTTGTTTTGGTTTTTTGAGACAGGGTTTCTCTGTGTAGCTTTGCGCCTTTCCTGGAACTCATTCTGTAGCCCAGGTTGGCCTCAAACTCACAAAGAACTGCCTGGCTCTGCCTCCCGAGTGCTGGGATTAAAGCCGTGGGCCACCATCGTCCAGCTCATTTGGTATTTAAAAGGAGAAGATCACGTGGAGCAATGGCTTCATGGTTAAGAGTACTTGCTGCTCTCCCAGAGGACCAGAGGAGCTGGCTTCCATCTGTGTGTGATTCCAGCTCCAGGGGATCCCATGCCCTCTCCTGGCCTCCTTGGGTACCCTAAGTACATGGATGTGTCTACACAAACACATATACATAAATAAAAATAAAATCTTCGGTAAAAATAAAAGGCCCATTTTTGACATCTGCAAGTCTTTGTCTTCATTTGTAAAATACAAAGAAACTGTTGCAGAATTTTGCTTAAACGCTTTACATTTTTTTTTTAAAGCTGGGTTTTATGTAAATAATTTGTGATACTAAAGGATTATACAAAGCACAAGATGTTCAGTCAATGGCATGGTAAGTGACAGGCTCCCCGTTCCTGGTCTAGGAGGTCAGAGGCACGGGCTTCAAAACATACAGTTACTATTATTCACCTATATTAATACTGTTCAATAGAGAGTACATTCAGTTTCACATTAAACTTATTGAATAAAACAAACGTGAACATCTTTCGGGGAAAAAAAATTGAAATCCTATTAACTCACAGGAGTTATTTAAAAACATAAAGGATACAATACTTAAGGAATGTGATTGTGTTAAAGACAGAGCCCCTAGTGTTGTGCTTCTGGGAGGCATTTGAAACTCTAAGAGGGGGCGTCACAGAAGATCTGTGGGTCACTAGTGGTGTGTCCTCGGATGGGACTGTGGCACCCCAGCTTCTTCCACATCCTGAGGGAAGCTTTGTGCTCGGTCACCACCCCCTGACCTTTGCCCCGCAGCACCTCCACCAGTCGCTTAAACACTGTGGAAAACAGTCATGGAACTTCTGAAAGCATGAACCCAGAGGAAATGGTCTCTCTTAATAATTCTTCTCCTGGGTATTCTTAAATAATGATAGAAACATGACTGACACAAAAGTGTCAGAATTGTTTTTTTTTTTTTTAAAGATCACGTAATGTCATCATTGATGACACTTGGAGCTTTAACAAGCAAGGCCCAAACACTTTCCATATATATTGGATTTCTTTGTTCTCTCAACGACAATGAAACACAGCCCCAGGAAGTTCGCTGTGCAGAAACTCATCAAACAGCTACATCTCTGACAGGGAGATTTTTGTGTTTATAAATGAAACTACAGACTTTCTGGGGAGGGTCTCTTAGCAAATGAGCTCCGATGGAACAAGCTCATATTTAAGTAATGAGCAACACGAACCACCCTGCGTCAGTGGCTTTCCACTGCCAGATTGGATTGCAGCCGCCGCCTCCATTCAGGCTCCTATTTCATGGATGCTAAAATGTGATTGTGATCAGCCCGTATAAAACTTTCATCCATCCAGGGCTGGATTATTTATTTACACAGGCCGATTATTCTCCCTCCTGCACACATTGTTTCTCTGGGTGCATCCCAGTGACCCATACAGTCTGGGAACAATCGGACCGGAGTCACCTTGCCCGGACTTTTATTTCATGGGGCATTCCTTCCTGAATGTTGTCATCTCCTTGGTGACATTTCTTCGCCTGTTTGTTTTGAGGGGGGACAAGGCATATCTCTAAATCTGAGTAGGCTGTAGGATGAAAAATTAATGATGTTATTCTAACATGCATTCCAATTTCTGATGAAGATGGTGATTCCTCATAACGCCAGTGTTTAATACAGTGTCCCTTTATCAGATTGAAGGACAAAATTATATTAAAACTCGGGGTAGTTAATTTCCTGTGTAAACCTATACAAATGGGCTCACAGCTACACTAAGAGGAGACGGATTCTTAATAAAATGACTTAGTTTAAAACGCTATTTAGATCATTCAGAGGCGGTTATTGTCCCAAGACTATGAATTTTTATGGTAATTAAGTAATAAATAAGAGGTACATTAAAATCAAATTTAGAGGAGCCTTTCAGAATGCCGTTCTATAAGCTCACCGAACCAAGTTATTGCAATAATATGTTGATGACATATCACTCCTTGTATAAATTCCTTACAACAAAGGAAAACAAGACCCAAACCAAACCCCAGGCGTTTCTTTCAGAGAAATAAGATGGTCTTTACGTGGCCGTTGAAACAATTCAGTGGGCCATTGCCCTTTCCAAGAACTGAGGTGACTCAGCTGACTCCGTCGTTCATGTGGGATGATTGAGTTACCTGGCACCTGCCTCCTTTAAGAGGTTTTAGTGGAATTTAATGGCTTGAAGTGGATACCTGTATACATACATTCAGCCAACATCCCCATCTCTTTGCACTTCCTGAGTCGACACTCCTGACACTTGCGTCGCATGTACATGTCCATCACACAGTTGCCACCATTTTTACACTTGTACACGGCATTTTTGGTGATGCTCCTCCTGAAGAAACCTGTGGGAGAAACACTGGAAAGTGTGAGAAGATCCTGAACAAGTTTGCAAGAAATACATCCGGATCATGTCCATCACACAGTTGCCCTTATTTTTACACTTGTACACGGCATTTTTGGTGATGCTCCTCCTGAGGAAACCTGAGGGAGAAACACTGGAAAGTGTGAGAAGGTCCCACACAAGTACGTCAGGGCATTTTTTCATTAACTGCTGGGGATCACCCAGATGAGCCTTGAGCAAAGGGACCTGCAGCAATGGATACTTTGCTGTGTGCTGTTGTTGAAAGGGGAGCTGTTTTAAATTTATCTCTCTAAAACAATGGCAAGTGGGAATTAGGGCCTTTCTTAGGAAAAAAAATCAGTTTGTTTTAAATATATATTACTTCCATTTATCTTTATTGGGGGACAATTACAGGCCAGTAAGTACTAGGTGCTGCCACTATAAAGGCGAGCAATCCATCCCTGCCCTCCCAGAGTTTAAAGGTTGAACAAAAGCAAATGCATGCAAATAACTAAACAAGAGAAGACTAAGGGTTGTGTGGAAGCTGACTGGATGCATGCTGAGGCGTAACAAGTGCAGGGAATGGTTAATAGAGCACCTAAGGGGGCTAGAGATTTGGCTCTGTGGTCAAGAGCACGTGATGCTCTTGCAGAGGACCGGGGTTAGGTTCTCCAAGCTCACATGGTGGTTTACAACCACCCATGACTCCAGTTCCAGGAATCTGACACCTTCTTTTGGCTTCCGTGAACACCAGACATGCAGGCGGTACACATTTTGCAGACAAAAACACCCAGACAACACACAACAGGAAATACAGAATCCTTTCCTAAAGCTTAGAAAGTGAGCAGTAAGCAAAAAGTCAGAAAGTGTGTTGTTGTTTACCAGGCATTTCAGGGGGAAAGTTGTGCTCAAGGTTTTAGTTTTTCAGCACTTATTATGACAGCCTTGCTAACAATAAAAATGCCAAGCCTGATTTAAAAGAAGATATCTCCCCAGAGAAGATAGAGGACAGCTGTAGCCACTTCAGGTAAGATGCCTAAAGCCAGGAAGGGGAGGCGACCTCCTTCTGCCCTTGTGACCCATATCTACTTGTTCTCTTCCAACTGGTCACCCATAAGATTCCAACAATTCCAGATTCGGTGTGGTGGTGAGCAGGGACACGTATTTGGGAAGCAAGAGAAGTAACAGAGAAACTCGCTCTTGCTTGGTACAGCAGCTTACACACTCACCCACAGTTTCAGTTTCCGAGGTTTTCATGACATGTGGTAAACCATAGTTCAAAGATACTAATAGAAACTTCCAGAAATAAGCCCCTCATAAATTTTGCAATGGTCCATCTTTCTGAGCAGTGTGATGAAATCTCGCACAGTCTCACCCAGGATATGAATCATCTCTTTAGCCAGCAAATCCATGGTGTACAGATAACCCACCCAGTGGCACTTAGAGATCTCACTTGTGCAACTATTACTACTGCATATCATTCTGTTTTGTCAATGACTATTACTGATAATATCTTCCTTGCCTAATTCATGCCTGTATAGTTATATATATATGGTTCACACAAAGCCTCCACTGGGTATCTTAGAATTCAGCCATGGTGGATGAGGGGCACTATTGTGTTATAAGCTGGGTGTATGTGGCAAGTTCAAAGTTGACACTCCTCTTGGGGTTGGGTCATGAATTACCCTTCCCACCACTGGAATACTTTCATTCACAGTTCCTTGATGAGGGCAAAGCTGTTCCAGTTCTAGTTCATAGCTGTATTGAGGGATTTGGTGGTTTACTCCTGTCCAAGTTAGTGTTAGCTGTCGATTTGACCCCACCTAGAATCCACAGGATTTTTAAAAGTCTCAGTTGAGTGATTGCCTTTATTAGGTTGGTCTGTGAGGATAGCTATGCAGGACTCTTAAGTGTGAACTGATGTAGGAGGGCCCAGCCCACTGTGGGTGGCACCATTCTCTGAGCAGATAGCTGGTCTTGGGCTGTCTAAGGGCAAACGTGGGCCTGAGCAAGCCAGGAGTGAGTCAGCAGACAGTGTTCCTCCAGCTTGGTTTCTACTGTACTTCTCTGGCCGTGAAGGAGTTCTCTGCTGAAGGTAACGCTGCAGGAAACAGCCAACAGGCCTGTCTTGAGGTCCTCCCCTGACTTCCCTCAGTGACGGACTGGGGCCTCGAAGCGTAAGATGAAATAAACCTTTCTTATCCTATGTTGCTTTTGGTCAGAGTGTTTTATCACAGCCACAGAAAGAAAATTGGGGGTCATTCTAAAGTGCTTATAAAGGTCGCGTCACATTTTAGAGAGAGGGGAGCAATTATGGTGTAGATATGGATAGTTGCATATGTATTATGAAAACTTACCCAGCTATCATTCAAAAATTATTTCAATAGCCGGGCGGTGGTGGCGCACTCCTTTAATCCCAGCACTCGGGAGGCAGAGCCAGGTGGATCTCTGTGAGTTCGAGGCCAGCCTGGTCTACAGAGTGAGATCCAGGAAAGGCGCAAAGCTACACAGAGAAACCCTGCCTCAAAAAACCAAAAAAAAAAAAAAATTATTACAATAAATTAACTATAGTATAAGAATTTCCCAATGCCTACAAATTGGAAAGAATCAGACGTTGAGCTGGGGTGACTCTAATTCCAAGTAGGGGAATCAGAGAAGGTTTTAGGAGAACTTTGAGTGACGGCTTACAGAATCATTTTTGAAATGTGTACCGTGAGAGAGGAGAGACCTTCTGAGAAGGAGCAAGGCAGAGCGTTACAGAAGCTCTGGGGGAAAGTAGACAATCCATCCAGGTAGCCATGCGGAGTCTGGAAATATGAGTGAGGGGTGGTTAAGGGGTTGAAGAGAGAAAATAAATATTAAATGCCCTGGAAAGCCATACAGAGGGATCTTTGCTATGTAGGAAAAGAGGAGTTCTTCAAGAATTTGGCAGTAGAAGGTATGGCCTAAGCTTCATGTGGAGAAAATTCTTGGAGAACAAGAGGAAGTAAGGGGGAACTGGAGACTGGAGACCATGACCATACCATAGCTGAGAGGTTAGAGATGCTGCCTAGGCTAGACCGGGAGAGAGACCTAAAAAGAGAAAAGAAGAGAACATGCTAGCCTTGGGTAGCTCACTAAATGTGAAAACAGAAGCTGCACGAAAAGGTAGATATGTCAAGGCTGGCTTAGCCCTGGGCTCCTCTGTCAGCTGTCTGCATTTCAGGAGGAAAGATCTTAACACTTTCCTAAATGTTAAATCCAACCAAATCAAATCTTTCAAAAAAGAACACTTTATGCTTCAGATTAGCATTGATATTGAGAGCGCAAATACCGAAGTGTGCGTTTTTAGTGAGTAAAGCAAAAAGAACTCTTTCCCCCAGTGCCAAACCATGAGCTCAATGAACACCTCAGCCTGCCTGCATGAGTCAGTCTTCTCTCGAGTCCGCCTAGGGATGATTCCTTTTAAAACTGCAATAGGTACTGATAGACAGCTCAATAGTTGAGAAAATGAAACTCCTTATTCCAAGATGAATCAAAGGAAGGGTGCACAGAACAAGTCTGCAGGTTTTCTTCTTTCTCTTTACCTCTGGTATTATCCAAAAAGGAAATCATTATCATCTCAATAGCTGAATTAATTAGCTTTCACTCTGGGAAAGCAACACAATATTATCACTACATCATTTAAATGTGGGCACATATACTCTATTTATACTTTATGCAAATCTATCCATACACAAGCTATGCCTCTATCTTGCTCTTTCTTGTGCATATTCAACAATGCTCATATCAGAAAAGTCATTTGAAAATGAATGGAAAGGAAATTCACAGAGGAACAGAGCCTTCCTGATAATAGATGAGCCGTGGGGAGGACTGCCATGGCCAACTTGGGGGTAGGGAATCCTGGCTTGCAGGACAGTTTGGAGATGGCATTTTCATGGATCTTGTAATTCTAACGAATATTACCCACCATTTTTGTCCTTTATATACATAGGATCCAGCAGCCATGTGCTAGTCCCAAGTCATACACACATGCATGCATGTATGTCACTTTGGACATTCGTGGTTGACATGGGTATCTATGGGTAGTATGAACTATCATTCAATGTTTTACATGTTTAAGGATCTTTAAGACAGCAACAAGCATAGAACTCAGAATTCTTGACATAGAACATGGCCTACACAGAGATCGCTTTACATACTCTTACTTTGTTTCATATGTTGTTCCAAAAATACATGTGGTATTTATTTAATACTTAATCCAATGAGGTAGTGCTAATTATTTCTGTCCCATGGGAGAGGACCTTGAGTTCCACAGAGGCTGGCTTGCTCAAAGTACAACAGGTAATGAATTGTAGAGCCTGGATTTGAATCCTGGTAGGCTCAGTTCAACCACTACCTTCACAGGCCTTCAAATAGAATAAGGAGTTTGTATTCCAAAACATTTCCTCAAGACATTAATTTCCCCAAATCTCACCCAGCATGGAAAAACCCAGCCTGTAACAACGATCTGTTACCTTCCCCAAAGCTGGATCCATGGTGAGTACCTAGCAGTCTCTTTAATGATGTTAAAATGAACCAAAATATTGAGTCATTTGGGTATGCTTGGTTGATTTTTCATTTTCTTTCCATCCCAAGAGGATAGTCATCATTTTGTGCTTGTTTACTTCAACAAGTCTCGCTCTCATTGAAAGGATGATTCTGGATCATCAAAAATGTAAAAGATGGGTGAATACATCTAGAGTAGGGAGAAGCAGAAGCCGCTTAGCTGGGAAGAGTTTGGAGAACTTGCCCCAAGCTTTGGAATGGAATGAATCTCACAGGTTCTGTGAGTGGTGGCCCAGCACCCATGAAGAGTCCCCAGAGAGAAGGCGAACCTCAGTGGGGATGGCAATTGCAGCTCAAAGCCTCTGAGAAATTACGCATGAGCTAAATCTGTGAAGAGGTGCCTGCCTGAAGAGCTCACTGAAAACCAATCGATGAAAATACAACCTATCAAGACTGGAGGTGTGCAGCAAAAGG